ATGGGTGCTGAGAACTGAACCCAGGTTTTCTACAAGAGCAACAGTGCTCTTAACCCCTGAGCCATGTCTCCAGCCCACAATACTGACCTTTTGAAGTACTGCAGCAAGACGTAAAGTGGTAGTTTAGAACGATGGAATTTCCCACTGCATTTGACTGTATTTCCAACAACAAGTGCATTAAATCTACCAGGCTCTCGCGATCTCAGGTCTCATATTAGGTCAAGTGGAGTCAAATCGTTTCCGCTTCTCCACACTGGGCTGCCATCATTGTCACCATCTGTACTAACATCGAGCTGTTGTAGGATTCTGCAGATCTCTGCATTAGCTTTTGACTGGGAAATTACAACCCTTTTTTGGTCCCTGCCTTTCTAGATTTTTCTAATTCCAGAGCTTGGGATTATTTAAGCAAACAGATTCACAACCTTCTAAATGTTTGATGATTGAATCTTTGGGACCTGGGGTCCGATGGGAAGTAATTGCCATTTTTCCTGATCTGGCTGACCGGTTCCCAGTTGCAATGATAAGTAAAATTCCTAAATTGCAGGGAGGTTCAGAAATGTAGAGGGCATTTGCACGGTAAATTGTAAAGAGACTATCTTTTTGTTTTCTAACTAAGTGGGAAACGCATATGTGTGTGTGTAATTTAACCGCAAGTGGAAGAAGCATTGCACAGACATCTGAGCAGGTTAACAAATCGTATTTGTATACGTGTAACTAAAACAGTAATTTATCAGGTAGAGGCAGATGGGGGAAATAAAATGCCAACCTGTGTCTACAGTAGGGCTGAGCTGATGATGAAGAGCTGTTTACTCAGGGCCGGCGTTGCTCGTCAGCAACGTAGGAGCCACTGCAGCACATGACTCCCTGCATAGCTAGAAGACAAGAATAAATTATACGCTGTGCAAACAGCGCCAGCGCAAAAGCAGAACAAACAGACTGTGCCTCCCCGAGTCTTGAAGATTCTCACTCATTCCCTTGTTTGACTGTTTTAAATACGAAACTCTTGACACTACCTTGAGGCCAGTAGGATGGGATCTGGCTTGGACAAATTCATCAGAGTGCATGGGGCATCAAAGCTGATCTTTGTTTGCGGTTACTGTAAGATGTATCAGATTTGATAATACGCCAAAATGGCTCACATGATTTTTTTTTTATTGGTACTTCTTTTAAATCCATGGAATTTGGTTTGGGATCACCCACGGGATGGTTGGCCAGTCTTACCCAGAAGACCTAGACTGCAAGAATTACTTAAGGGACATGATGAAAACACACATTCTTAGACTTGGTCTCTAAACAGCTAAATAACAATCCTCAGCAAAGTGTTTAGAACACACAGCCCAAGGTGTTTTTGTGATGAGGTCAGTATAAGGAACTGGAGGGTAGGGGTGTTATCCAAGTCTCAGGAGAGCACTGAGAGTGCCAAGAGCTGATTATTGGAAAATATGTGGACCAATCCCTTGCGAATGCAGAGCTTTGTAGTTGGGGTGCAGGGACAGATGCAGCTTCAGTAAGTCTGGGGTGTGGATGCAGAATGTACTAGTGTTACTAGACAAGATGTTAGAAACTACTGTATAGCAAAGAAGAATCAAAACATGGGGGCTGGAGAGATGCCTCAGCGGTTAAGAGCATTGTCCTGAGTTCAATTCCCAGCAACCACATAGTGGCTCACAACCATCTGTAATGAGGTCTGGTGCCCTCTTCTGGCCTGCAGGCATACACACAGACAGAACATTGTATACATAATAAATAAATAAATATTTTTAAAAAAAAGAAAGAAAGAATCAAAACAGCTTCTGATGTAGCCAGCATTCTCGAATAGCAGAATGCCCATAACTACAGCTTTGAATAGTGCTTCTGAATCGGCATCTACTCATGTAAAGTCAAATTAACCTGTTCCTATTTAAGGAACGCAAGGGGAGTGGTCACCAATGTGTGTAACAATGTCTTCAGACTGTGTGCCATCCTCCTGTAAAACATTTGGAAAGGAAAATTTGAGGCTTCTTAGAAAGTCTTCAGTTATTGATGATAAGCTGTAGTTGAGTATCTTTCCCATTTGCTTTCAGTGTCAGCTCTGCTTTCCATCCGTAGAGGCCCACAGCCCAGCATCCAGGTTCTTGATTAATCACCAGTGACGCTCTGCAGTGTTTTATCTAGTGAATGCTTATTACACATACGGGATAGTCTGATCCAAAGAAGGCAGACTCTGAACTCCCGTGGGCAAATGCATTCTCTAATACCCACTCAATGCCCGCATGGCCTTCAGACACAGATTAAAAACACAGGTGCTGGCAGGGTGCTTTCTGGGTCTCTTGTACGTGAGCATCACAAACTTCACTACCAAATCAGACCAATAGATCCTTTGTATCCATCAAGAATACATCCCAAGAGCTTTGTGGTTCCCGTGTGTACTTCTCTCTAACCTAAAGGAGAAAGTGACCTTCTCTTTACTAAGTGGCCTAGTAAAATCCCTAACAAGAACAGCTGCCATGAGAAGCTGGCGCGGTGGCTCACACCTTTAGTCCCAGCACTCAGGAGTCACAGGCAGGTGGATCTCTGTGAGTTCAAGGCTGGCCTGTTCTGCCTAGTGAGTTCTAGGACAGACAGAGCTATGAAGAAAGACCCTGTCTCAAAAAACAAAAACAAAAAACAAGCAAGCCAAAACAGACAGCCAATCCTCATCAGCACATGGAAGCCCCACCTACCAAGGGTCTCTTTGGGGTCTCATAGACCTTACGATTCCACTCAGCAAAATGCAGAGCCTTGCACAAATGGTAATTTTTGGTGCAAATATTAATGTGGTAACTGATCAATAACTCGATGTACCTATTCAGATGTTCACAGTGGTTAGGAGGGGGTGGCATGACAATCACATTTTCTATGGTAAATACTTGAGTTTTAATATTGTACCACAGCAAACATAATTACAATTACTATTGTAATAAAATGCATAGAAGTCTCTAAATCCCTTGAGTGTACATCGTGATATTTTTCACTGAGAAAATCATAAGCTCTCAGTTAACTGATTTTACATAATGAGAATGATGAAGATGTTGGTGGTGATGATAGTGAGAGAATTATGGCAAAGTGGTCTCACTGAAGTTGATATAACTTGAAAAGTCAAAACATTTCTGTACGTGACGTCACATTCTGGGAGTGCTGCAGTTACTGCCTTCTCTGCAGTTGCCATATATAACAAGGTAATCCCAGCATTACAGCTGTTATAAAATTCTGCCGGACTTCTACCCCACATTAGAAAATCCTCAGGGACTGGGGCTTCAGCACAGTTTGTAGAGTGCTCTGGTAACACACAGAGCCTTGGCTTCAGTACCACAGCTCCACATATGGAAGATCCTGTTTCAGAAAAGAATTCCCCAGCCAATTCATCCAAGTTTATCTTCAGAAATTTGAATGGAAACTAGCAATAATAGTAAAAAATAAAATTGTAGAGCTAGTTAATCAGATATGAGTGTTGAAGCACAAGCCTGACAGCCTGTGTTCAATCTCCAGAACCCACACAAAAGATCCAAATGTGAAGGCACACATCTGTAATCCCAGAACTCCTTCAGCAAGATGAGATGTGGAGGTGGAGATAGGACAGGTTGAATGTTCACAGGACAACTAGCCTGGAGTTTGCCGAGCAGCAGCAGAAACAAGAGACCTGCCTAGCAAGGAAGGAAAGAACTGACTCCCCAAAGTTGTGTTCCGACATCTGTACACATGCGCGTGAGAGCACACACACACACACACACACACACACACACACACGTGCATGCACTCATGCACACCTACAATGCTGTATTAACTACTTCTGTTGCTGTGATAAAACACCATGACCAAGCAACCTCCAGAAGATGTTCCAGAGGGACTGAAGTCCACTGTGCTGAGGAAGCATGGCAAAGGGAGCAGGGAGCTGAGAGAGCACAAAACAGGGTGAGCAAACTGAATGTAGGGCAAGCCCTGTCCCCCTTTCTCCAGACACCTCCTAAACTTCCACAATGGCAGCACCAAATGGGGACAAACTGAGCAAATACCTGAGCCTATGGGGAGCATTCTCATTCACTCAATCCACTACGGGCACCCACCCCACCCCCAAAATAAATAGTATTATAAGATAGGAGTATATCAGAATACATCATGTATGAAGATCAGGAAACAGAAGATGACTTCACTATACTTCTTGAAGGCAGGCAGGCAGGCAGGAAGGAAGGAAGGAAGGAAGGAAGGAGAACGGAGCTGCGGGCATGCCTGCTTTTTGTCCCGCCCAGCTCCCGCATGGTTAGCTTTACACCCGAAATAACAACACACAAACTGTATTCTTTTAAACACTGCCTGGCCCATTAATTTCTGCCTCTTATTGGCTAGTTCTTACATATTGCTTAACCCATTTCTAATAATCTGTGTAGCACCACGAAGTTGTGGCTTACCAGGAAAGATTCAGCATGTCTGACCTGGTGGCTGGCTCCATGGCATCTGACTCCACTTCCCTTCTTCCCAGCATCTTGTTCTGTTTACTCCGCCTACCTAATTTTCTGTCCTATCAAAGGACCAAGGCAGTTTCTTTATTAACCAATGAAAATAACAATAGACAGATGACCCTCCCACATCAGAAGGAAGGGAGACAATCACGCAGACCCCTGGTGTATGATGCTTCTTGCTTTTCTAGTGACAGACTGAGATTAGAGCCAAAAGAAATTCTTATATGGGTATCATAAAAGATGAGATGTGCTTTTCAAATACTTGATAAATATTTCATAAAAATATACTCCTGTCTAAAGGGTTGATAATAAAGGCAGAGACATCTTTCTTCCTTGGTTCGGGAAACAAATCAGTCAAGTGTATTTTAAGCCAGAACATGGATATTTCCGAAATTTCTCAAAGCATTTACTTCACTTACCTCTGGTGATAACTATCTGTCCTGTTGCATCACAGGCCTGAGTTGATGTGCGGCCGCTGTCTGAAGCAGGCAGTTTGACACTGATCTCACATGCCTGTCGTTTCAGGACTGCCTGTTTCATAGCAACATCACCAGTGACTTGAAAGCCTTCACAGACAAGTTTGGTTTTGATGTCCTCATCCTGATCGCGAGTTACACCTTGGAGGAGCAGCAGAGACAGCAAATCGCAGTGTACTCCCAGAACCTGGAACTGTGCAGCCAGGTGAGCCTTCCTCGGTCTGTTTCACTGTTGGTGAGCTTCTGGAATTAAGGACATGTGCTAAGAAGTAATAACAGACTGCTGTCTTCTAAGAAATAGGCCCAAGAGATAGAGTCCTGATACTGGACTTGTAGGGAAATTGGGGCATATCACGCATTGTTTCATTTTAGAAAGGCTGCTAGTCCATTTCATGTTGCTGACAAAATGCCAGAGGCCAGGTACTTTTTAAAGAAGAGACATTTGTTGGCTCACAGTTCTTGAGACGAGCAGGGCATGGACTTGTGCCCTGATGCGGCATGGGCTTTCTCGAGGACAGCATCGCATAGAGAACCTGGAAGCAAACGTCTAGACTTGCTTTGTGACAACTTATTCCAGTGAAAATCGATAGAGTCCCTTGGAGCTTTCATTAATCCTTCTTGTCACCTAACGACCTTCTGCTAGCCCCACTTCTTAAAGATTCCACCCCATCAATACTGTCACCTCCATTTAGGGAGCCAAGCTTTGAGTGTGCAGACCTTTGCACAGTGACACAAAACCATAGCACAACCTCACAACTGTTCCCCTTATAGACTGAATCCATAAAGAAAACTACCAGCTCTTTCTCACCCAAATGAAGGCAAGTCTGCCTTTTCTACACTGTTTTCTTTTGAGAGCATTCCCTGGTGATAACCAATCTAGCCACTGTCTCAATATCCATGTGGTGCCCGGTGTTTAGAACAAGTGATCCGATGCCTTAGCAAACACAGTGAAGGTGCTCGGGTAAGCAGCTGGATCTTGTAGGGTGAGAGTTGAGCCTTTTAACACAAAACCTAGAAAATAAAAATAAGAAGAGGAGGAGGGGAGGGGAGAGAAGGAGGAAGAGGAGGAAGAGGAGAAGAAGAAAGTTAATCACAACAGGTCCTGGATTTATGAGTCCAAATAGTTATTATACTTAATAACTAACATTGAGATTGATGTGGATATAATGACTGGTTAACATGAACCTCACTAGCGAGTCAGAGTCCTTGGCTACCTCGCGTGGCGAGAGGCAAAGTCTCCACTTTCTTTTTCAGCATCTCCCTGTGTCCTCTAAAGCTCCATTCGGCTCCTTCACGATGACTGTATCTACTCTCACTGCTTTCTCGAGTTCAGATAAGAACATGATGCCCCTGCTATGGTGCACTTTGTGTCCTCTGCCCTGACCTGCATACCTGTGTGTGTCAAATCTCCACTGTGGCTTTCCCAGGGTTAACACACTATGTGTTTGGACCCAAGGGTGTGCTATTACCTTTCTCGTCGCAGTGACAGAACCCTTGGCAGAAGCAAACGAATGGGAGAGAGATTTCCTCAGGCTCATGTTTCAGAACTACTGAAACATGACAGAGAAGGCATGGAAGTTGACATCTGTGGCAAGTGGGAGCTTGGGACGTGGTTTATCACACTGCAACCGGATCAGGAAGAACATGGCCAGATAAGAAGCAGGGCTTCCCTGCGACCTACAGGCCAGTGTCCACCAGTTAGACCGTGTCTAAAGAGTTCCATAGCGTCCCCATAACAGCTGGGGACCAGGTATTCAAGTGCATGAGCCCGTGAGGGGATATTTTACTGCCAAACCATAACAAAGGTTCGATTTTACCCTTTTTGCTCATAACTTTGTAGATAGAAGACATAAGTTGTCCACATGTCTGCTATCTTAGTTTTCAAAGCACTTTTGGGAGCAGACCCCTTTTCCAAGTCGTTTTGAAAGTAAGTTTCTTTAAGCAAAGGAAGTGGTCAAAACCCTGGAGCCGGCACTTCCTCTTCTCTCCTCATCCCACTGACAGTTTCAAAAGCAGCTCCTCTAAATTCCCTGTTGTAATAGGAGTGGTGGGGCTGTGTCCCCAGCACCCCGGCCGCCTGCTAGCTTATGCCCTGAAATAACAACACACAAACTGTATTCTTTTAAACACTGCTTGCCCCATTAACTCTAGCCCTTACAGGCTAATTCTCATATCCCGATCAACCCGTCTCTAATAATCTGTGTAGCATCAGTCTTACCAGGAAAGATTCTAGCCTATGTCCATCCTGGGTCTGAGCTTCATGCATCTGCTTCAGAGAGCAGAGCTATCGCGTCTGCCCGGGAGAGGGGAGCATGGCGTCTCTGAGCTCACTTCCTCTTCCTCCCAGCATTCTGTTCTGTTTACTCCACCCACCTATGTTCTAACCAATAAAATGGGCCAAGGCAGTTTCTTTATTTTTTTAACCAATGACCTTCCTCCATCAATTCCCAGCAACCCAAAGGGGACAGGCTCTGCACCACGGGGTCCTTCTTGATCTTGTGGTCACAAGGTGAAGAGTCCACCTCTGTGGTTCAATCACAGAGTTCAAAATTCAGGTCCCCTCCCACCAGCAGAGAGTTGTTGATTCACCAGTCCTTCCCTAGTTTTTGTTTTCTTATCAACAAAGCTTGAAACAAAACAAACAGCTGCACAGTATCACTGTGAGAAGAAAAGAACCTCTGGGCGTGACACACTTACAACTGTGCTGTGTTGCCGATTACCATCAAGGCCATTGCAGTGGCTTCTGGCTGTGACACACAACTGTGCTGGTATGGATAAGCACTTGGCAAAAACCTCTGTTTTATCATCAAGGCCATTTCCACGGCTTCTGAGGCTATTCTCTCCACCATCATCTTTAACCCCTGTTAATCCTGAAGGGCTTTTTCTTTCTTTTTTTTTCTAACAATAACTTATTTAATTTTATGTGCATTGGTGTCAGATCCCCTGTAACTTGAGTTAGAGACAGTTGTAAGCTACTATGTGGGTGCTGGGAATTGAACCTCGGTCCTCTGGAAGAACAGTCAGTGCTCCTAACCACTGAGCCATCTCTCCAGCCCCATGTAGGGCTTTTTCAAAAGCTCAGCATGGCAAAACAGTCCTGGTGTTCCCTAAACTTCCAAGTGCTGCAGCCTGCGCCTGGCCTGGAGCTGGCTGTCTGGCTCGGTGTCCCTCTGCCTCCCAGGTGCCTTTGTCTGCTCAGATTTCTATGTCACTGCTCCCCAGGACAAGAAGGAAAAGAAGGGGCCTGAGTGCCATGGGGAGGCTCAACCTGTGGCCCTTTCCCTCTCTCACCTCTTCCTTTGCCTTAACACTCCATCAGGGCCAGGCCGGAGCTGGCTTCCTCTCTGAATCAAATGCTTGGTCAGCACCCAGGGATTCTGCAGACTCAAATATCACAGCTGTTGGAAGATGGTGCTATATTACACTTAGGAAAGGCTTTGGGTGATTTTAAAGACAGTCACCGGTGACTCCCAGAAACCAGTGAAATGGAGAAGCTGACTAATGTAATGTTAAGTTGAATGGGGTTGGAGAAAGAGCTGGTGCCAGGCTAAGCTGGGTACAGTAGTACCTGGGTCTCAGTTGCTGGTGCTCTTCTCTGTAGACAGATGGACATTTTAACTTTTGTGGGCTGTAGATCCAGCCCCGTCAGTAGACAGCTGGCCCAGCATGTACAAAGCCCTGAGTGAAGTCACGTGCACCAGTCAGCCTGGCACAGTGGCCCACACTTATTAGAGACTGGGGAGTAGACTCTCTTGGGAAAGTACTTGCCTCACAAAAAACTGGACAGGGTGCCACAGGCTTATCGTCCCAGCCCTGGGAAAACAAAGACAAAGATTCCTGACTCTTACCGGCTGTCCAGTCTCTCCAAATTGGTAGGCTCTGGGCCAGTGAGAGATCCTGTCTCAAAAGGGTGGATGGCATGTCTGAGAATGACCCTATAGTTGTCCTCTAGCCTCCAAAAGAAAGCATACACATGGGTATGTGCACACACACACAGGCACTCATGCACACACATGCACAGGCACACACACACATATACACATATGCACACACGCACAGGCACACATGCACACATATGCACACACACATATACACACACACATATGCACACATGCACACACACACACACATAAATAAAATATTTTAAGGCCACCATTCTCAATCCCCAGGTCCCATTTGCATGTTTTATATGCTATGTCCATCTGATCAGCATTTCTGACGTCAGCCCAGCCATGCCACACCCACCCTCCAGGCCTTACTGACAGTGCTCACATCCTGTGCCCAGACGCAGTCTGCTAATGGTGGCTCTCACCCCTTATCCAAAAAACTTCTTTTCGCAATAGACGGAGATCATTATAGAAAGCACAACTGATCAAATCCACAGACCAAGTGACTGTGTGATACCCATCAGCAATTGATACACTACAAAACAACCCCTACACCTAAGGCTCGGGGAATGTTGTGGAATGGTGGATGCATGTGTGCATGTGTGTGCGTGCGTACGTGCATGGATGTGTGTGTGAAAAGACTGCAGGACCAGAGGACCAGAATGTCTGCTGTGAGCTTATCTCCCGTGTATGACAAGCAAGCTCTACCCACACATCCTCAACAGTGTGGTTGCCTAAATAAGACCTAATCCACGACACCACCAGCAGAAATGCTAGCGTGCATGGCGGAAAGCATGCAAGATCCCAGCCCCAGAAGAAGAGATGGAGGCAATATGTGATTGTTGAGAGAGGGAGAATCAGTAACTTGGGGTTTCTACTTCTGCGATGAAACACCATGACCAAAAAAGCAAGTTGGGGAGGAAAGGGTTCATTTGGCTTGCACTCCCCCATCACTGTTCATCACTGAAGGAAGTCAGGACCAGAACTCAAATGGGGTAGGAACCCAGAGGCAGGAGCTGATGTAGAGACCATGGAAGGGTGCTGCTTACTGCCTTGCTCTCAAGGATTGCTTAATCTTCTTTCTTATAGAACCCAGGACCCCCACCCCAGGGGTAGCACCGCTCGCAATGCTGGGCCCTCTCCATCAATCACTAGTTAAGAAAATGCCTTACAGCTAGAACTTATGAAGACATTTTCTCAGTTAAAGTTCCCTCCTTTTGGGTAACTCTAGCTTGTGTCAAATTGATATAAAACTGGCTAGGACAATCAATCTTTCGAGAAATGAGCCCCCTGATTAGTTATCTATCACCGAGTGATCATCTCTAAAAATGTACATATATGAGAAACATTAAATGGACTCAGCAAGTTATAGTTCTATATTTACTCATATATAGTGTATGGGTTCATGGCAAAAAATAAAGAAGACAGGCAATAGATTTGAGAAGAAATAGGGGAATGGAAGGAGTTGGAGGGAGGAAAAGAAGGTGAGGAATGATGTTGTTATAGTACACATATGTGAAAATACACAATTTTTTAGTGAAAAGCTGAGAAAGACAAAATGCCAGGGACATCTCCACGCTCACACACCCTTGTGCCTCCCTGTAGATTTGCTGTGAATTGGAAGAAAGTCAGAACCCTTTCCTGGAACTGGAGCCATTTGAATGTGGCTGTGACGAGATCCTGGTATACCAGCAGGAGAACCCTTCTGTGACCTGTGACCAGGTGGTTCTTCTTGTCAAGGAAGTCATCAACAGGAGGTGTGCAGAGATGGTCTCTAACAGCCGGACATCCTCCACGGAAGCTGTGGCAGGCAGCGCGCCCCTGTCCCAGGGCTCCTCTGGGATTATGGAACTCTATGGTTCTGACATAGAGCCACAGCCCAGCTCTGTGAATTTCATAGAAAACCCTCCAGAGCTCAACGATTCTAACCAGGCTCAGGCAGATGTCAATATAGACCTTGTTAGTCCCGACAGCGGCTTGGCCACCATCAGGAGCAGTCGTTCATCCAAGGAGAGCTCAGTGTTTCTCAGTGATGACAGCCCTGTGGGAGAGGGTGCTGGGCCTCACCACAGCCTTCTCCCGGGATTTGACTCCTACAGCCCCATCCCCGAAGGGATAGTTGCAGAGGAACACAGCGAACACTTTGACCTCTTCAACTTTGACCCAGCACCCATGGCTTCTGAGCAATCCCAGCCATCTTCCCATTCTGCAGACTACTCGCCAGAAGACGGCTTCCCCAACAGTGATTCATCAGAAGGAAACCTCTCTGCGGGGCCGAAAGGACTTGGTGAGATGGGGATCAGCAAGTCTAATTACTCCTCCAGCTCACTTTTGTCAGAGACCGGGAAAGACAGCCTTGTGGAATTTGATGAAGAGTTTGTCCAGGGACAAGAAAGTTCAGGAGATAACTCTGAAAGTAATTTAAGCCTGGCATGTTTTGTGGGAGACGGACCTTCCTCCCCGCCACGGCTGAAGAATATTGCGAAGAGGATCCCACCAACACCTATGAACAGCTTTGCAGAACTCTCACCGTCAACCGAAGCGCCAGCCCCACTCTATCCTGAAGGTATGATCCAAAATGCCATAGACGCAACCCACCTGGGGCCGCCTCAGACCCGCACACGGTGCAGCAGCTGGTGGGGTGGCTTAGAAATTGACTCGAAAAATATCGTGGATGCGTGGAGCCCCGGTGAGCAAGAGCCTGTCTTCCAGAGCCCGGAATCCTGGAAAGAGCATAGGAACGGCCCCGTTGAGAGGAGAACCTCGGATTCCGCCTTCCAACCGCAAAGTCTCGAATTCCCAAAGTCAGATCCCTGGGAATCTGAATTTGGTCAGCCTGAACTGGGCAGCAAAGATACGCATGACCAGGAGGAGGGGAGCTTGAAATGTCAGCATCCACCCACAGAGATGCCGCATTTGACAGATGCCTCTCCTCAAGGGACAAACCACCTCATAGAAGACTTCGCTGCTTTGTGGCATTCAGGCCACTCCCCGACAATGATGCCCGAGCCCTGGGGAAATCCCTCGGATTCGGCTGACACTGCAGTCTCGGTGCCATTCCCGTCCTGGGGTGCATTTGATAAGAAAAACAACACTGAGACTCTAAACAGCACTTGGAATCTTCATCCCACTAACAACGAGATGCTGCCTGTACAGGACCCGAATGAGTGGGCTATGGCCAAAAGCGGGTTTTCTTTCCCTGCTGTAGACCTACTGGACAATTCCCTTGTTGAGGTCAATGCAGATGCTGCTCCAGAAATCTGGGGCAATACGAGCAGCGGCCCCAAGGATAATATTCTTACATCTGGAAGCCCCATTTCTGATCTGGGTCAAACGTGGAATACTTCTAAGCTGCCAGGGGAAGACCAGAATGGTTTGGTGGATGCAACAGCCAGAAGGAGGGTATATGGGAAGGAAGGTTCCTGGAGCCTCTTTGAGGAGAGTGTTAAGAAAAGAGGGTCAGATGTATCGGCTCCTTGGGAAGACTCCTTTTTGTCATACAAATGCTCTGATTACAGCGCATCCAACCTAGGAGAAGATTCAGTCCCATCCCCCCTGGACACCAACTACTCCACCTCTGACTCTTACACGTCGCCAACATACGCTGGAGATGAAAAGGAAACGGAAAACAAGCCATTTTCCCAGGAGAATGGTTCTGAGTCCAAAGACACTAACTGTCCTGCAGAGGATGTTGAGTCTCTCGCAACGTCACCCCAGCAGTCTCAGAGAAATCGAATTGGTTCCGGTCCCGGGCACTTAGACATGTGGGCATCACCTCCTGCAGACGATACACCTGAAGGAAATGGCGCACATCCTCCAGATAAAGACTTACTCAAGATCGAGCGTGCGGGAGACGAGCATGCTTCCAGGGAGGACGATGGAGGGGAGAGCAGCCCATCCAGTTACGATGACCCCAGCATGATGCAACTCTACAACGAGGCAAACCGGCAGCTCACCCTTCTCCACAGCAACACCAACTCACGCCAGGCAGCCCCCGACAGCCTTGAGACATGGAACCGAGTGGCTCTGGAGGACACACAGTCCACCGCGACCATCTCGGACATGGACAACGAACTGGACTGGGATGACTGCAGTGGGGGTGTGGCTATCAGCGGCGACGGTCAAGCAGAAGGTTCCATAGCTGCAAGCACTGAACCGGAAACCCGGTTCTCAGTGAAGCAGCTGGAACCCTGGGGCACAGAGCATCAGGAAGCAAACCAGGTAGACTGGGACCTCTCCGCCTCTGCAGAGCCCACTGGGGACACTGGTCCCAGTGAATACCATATCCTGAATGAGAAGAGTGGGCAGTTAATTGCAAACAGTATTTGGGATTCTGTCATGAGAGATAAAAATATGCCGACATTTAGATTACCAAGTCCACCCAGTACTACAGATATGGGACAAAGCACTTGGCCTCCTGAAATTCCCGGGCACTCAGTAAATGATAAAGACAGTCCCATGTTAGAAGCCTCTGGATTCAGTGAGTCAGCAGCACTTACATCTCAGCCTGATGACCAGGACATGTGGACAGAGTCCCAAGGTGACACAGCATCCTTGGTGACCAGGCCGGAGAGTCCAGAACGTGTCACACAGTCAGACCCATGGACTGGCCATGCTTTCGGACAGATTGAAAGTGAGATCGAAGGCCTGGGAGCCTCTAGCAGTGGGCATCTCAACAAGAAGGCAGCGCTAGGCTCCGGGGTGGAGGGAAAAGAGCCCAGTGACCAGGCAGTGTCTTTTTCAGCTGCATTTAAACACCAAGAAATCTGCAGTGCATCGGGCAAAATCAACTCTCTTCCAGTCACTTCCGGCCCTCAAACGGAGGGACCAAAGGAAGCCTTAGAAGTCGAGAAGGAGCCTTATACTCTAGACTCCTTTGCTGTGCAAACAGAGACACCCACAAGTGATTTGCAGACAAAAGAGACCCATGAGGAATCTCTCGTGGATGTCAGAAATTCAGGTGAAACGGGCACAACTTCCGGTAGGATTCATCTAATAGAAAATATGCCTTTATCTGATATGGAACTTGAGAAAACTGAAGCCCACAATCCTCTGGAGTCAGGAAAAGCGGATGAAAAGCTGCTTTATGAGTCTCCTCAAACCTTGGACGATTGGAACGGCGCTATAGATAGTGACGTGTGGGACAGTCACATAAGTTATGAGGCGACTGCGAATCCTGCAGGCCATGGCCCTGAGAGCGGCTTCCCGGAAGCTCTTTCCCCAGGAAATTATGACAGAGACAGCCTCTCCAGTGAATGTACTCATTCAAGTATGTCGAGTCCTGATCCAAATGAGTCTCCAGTGGCTTTGCCCTGGACCCATGGACCCAATACTGGACTTCAAAAAGAGGATCAAGAAGACAGGAGCAAACCGATTCACCAAGAACCGGAACAATTTGCCACCGAATCCCAAGCAAAAGTGGTTACTGAAATGAGGGACTTTGCAGAAAACAGACAGGATGGGTTGGGAAAGTTGTCTGATCACAGGGATCCTAAATTTCCCGAGATTCCAAGCGAGCCCATCAACAATGACTCCTCATCCTCTTCATCCAGCCTTGGAACGGATAAATATCCAGAATATTCTTATGCATATCAGGGAGGAAGTGTAACGATTAGCCATCAAGAGAAAAATGAACTTGACTTTCTGGAAATTGCGCAGCCAGAGGACACTAGCATCATATCTACAAGCTCAGGTTCTGACGATGATGGTGGCGGTAATGGAGAGCTGGTGGAGACGGAGCTCCATTTGGCCACTTGCCAAGTTTCTCAGAACGAATCCGGGGCTTGTGATTCGCTGCATGAACCCGAGTTCTTGACCACAGAGGATCCCAAGTCTGAATTTTCTATCTTTGTGGGTAGTTCAGAGCCAAGAGAGAAAGAGAATAAGCCATTCTGTGACAGTCAACAAAGCAGCCCTGGTCAGTGGATCTTGTCACCACTCGTGCAGACTGGCACACAGGACACATCTGTGGAGGTCAAAGCTGCAGAAACAGGGAGGATGGGAGATAGCATGTGGCAGGTGTCTCCCAAGCCTGAGCCCCGGGATGGAGACCCTGCTAAGTTGGAAATGCTTGGCTTCTCAACCGACAGCAGTGAGTGGTGGGCCAGCCCTCTACAGGAAGGGAGACCAAATGTCAGCACATCTGCAGAGCCACTGTCTGACTCAGAGGGGGAGTCTAACTTAGAGGCGACTTCTCCAGTCTTCCAGAATTCGGGTCCCTGGGGCGTACCCACTCAGAGTGATAGTGAACATGTGGACACAGACACTACTAATCCCTTCAGTGGTAAAGTGAAGTCACCCTTTCTATATAGCAATGGGGACGAGTCACATGAGAAACTTTGGAACATTCAACCCAAGCAGCTCGATTCAGATGCCGACCAGTTCAGTCAGCTCGTAATACTGAACCAAGTTAAAGACGAAGATGCAGGCCAGCAAACAGCTGTGCCCTCTACTGCTGACGACCTTTCTGCCGAGACTCGCACCCAAGAGCAGCGTCAGGAACCTGTGCTCTCTATCTGGGACCATGCAGACCCAGCATTTACTAACAGAGATGAAAACGGATGCCTCAGCCCTGGGCTTTCTCCCACTGAGTGCCAACAAGAGAACTGGTGGGGACAAGAAAAATCCTATCCCGGCCAAGTGACATACTCAAGCACGGTCACAGAAAATCTCCCTGCAGTCAGTACTCCCATAGAGCTGATGGAGAAGTCGGGTTCTGAATGGGATAACCCCAGCCCCGGCGAGCCCCAGCCTAACTTTGTTCCAGATATTTTACATGACAACTTCCAGGAGGGTGGACAACTGGCCTCGGCTTCCCCTGATTTGTGGGTGGACGTCAAAGAGCCTTTCGCCTTCAGAGCAGATGCTGAGGATCCTGATATACTGACTCACTGCGACCATGAGAGCGACTCTCAGGCCTCCGGCAGCCCTGATGTGTGCCACGATTCTGAAGGAAAGCAAGAGATGGAGACGCATGCAGGTGTTTCCCCGGGACCTGAAGTGGAGCCCAGTAAACTTTACCTCCCTGAGCCAAAGATGAATGATGAACCTACTCAGGGACCCAGGAAGGCATCTCTCCCACACAGTTCAGAACTCCACTCTGAACACACGATGCCACTGCCTCCAATCAACAATCGGATGGATATAAATGGCTCATCTAAGCCTGCCTCCCCCAAAAGTTCCCCAGAACCTTCTGATAGGCATGGGGACAACAATACAAGCTTAATGGCGTTAGAGGGAGATGCCAACCCGGAGGTGGAAGCTGTGGACAGGGGGATCCCAGGCACTGGAAATGGAGATGCTGACACTCCACTGACTCATCAGGAGGTCAGTATAGAAGGCAACAGCTCTTGGGTGTCAGAAGATCTTTGTCCTGACAGTCAGACAGGCACGGGAGCCTTGCTTGACTGTGAGCAACCTTTTGCTTCTGAGAACCCTGCTGTACTGACTGACATCTTGCTAGCCTCAGACACCTGCCTGGATGTAGGCGAAGCTGCCTTTGAGCACGGTTTCAGTGAAGCCTCAGGCCTCAACACTTCCACAGGCACTATAGACGATATGAGTAAGTTAACACTATCAGAAGGCCATCCTGAAACACCAGTTGATGGGGATGCGGGGAAGCAAGATATCTGCTCATCTGAAGCTTCCTGGGGTGATTTCGAATATGATGTCATGGGCCAGAATATCGATGAAGATCTGATGAAAGAGCCTGAACATTTCCGCTATGGGGGTGATCTTCCATTGGAAGACGGAACGCTGAAGCAATCGCTGGCACCATACACACCCCCCTTTGATCTGTCCTACCTTACAGAACCTACTGGTGATACTCAAACAGCCCAGGAAGCTGGGTCTCCAGATGATGCATCTCTGGGGAGTGATGCAGCAGAGCTGTTACTTTCTGCTCTTCCTGATCAAAGGGAGGAAAACCACACTGAGACCAACAGCAGGCAGCCTAGACACCCGATGACTGTGTTGCATATTCATGAAGACCCTGAGGCTCTTTCTTCACCTGTAGGAGGACCGGGTTCCAACATAGAGTCATCGCCATCAAATATTGACTGGGAAATAGAAACAGATTGTTCAGATTCACCAGCAGGTGGCGCCATGAGACCACCAAACGGTAAGCAATTCGCTCCCCGCCCTCCTATCCTCGCACACATACACAAACATAGCTCCATCTTCAAGGAATCAGCATTAAATAAATTAGTGCATTTATTAAAGCATTGCCACCAATGCAAGCAGAGAAAGTAACTGTATGTCCAATCCATTGTCTAACCATCTTCAGCGTATGTAAATGTAATGGCTATATTAATCATCTTCAGTATATGTAAATGTAATAAGTATGCTACGAAACTTCCCTATGCTTGAGAAAATTGAACAAGTTCACAAAAATAAAAATATGTAGCAGCTTGTCTCTTCTTAAGTGGTCCTTTGTGAAGACCACAGATTACATAGTATGTTAATTAAGCCTCTTCTCTTCATATTGCTTTCCTATTATAGGTGTCATCAAGGATATAGTCGAGTTAGAAGAGAGCGCAATTCCCACAAAAGGGCCCGAGCAGACAAAATTAGAGTCCAGTGAAGATAAATGGGCCGAGAAAATCGAAGACCCCCATGCACTAGCTGTGGGTTACATACTCGTAAGCCATGAAAAGGATTCTCCATTGAAACCGGAGGCCTGGGAAGCAAGAGAAAACTTACCCGAATCAGAAAAATTATCCATAGGTTCTGCAGAAACAGAGCTACCAGAAACTCAGTTAGCAGAGGCCCCAGACACATGCCAGCCCGAGTCTCTAAATGAAGTCAAAGTTGGTTCTGCAGAGAGAATGTCTTCCGACCACAAGAAGAGGGCATCTCCTGAAAGCCCTGCACAAGAGCAGAACTGGATGGTCTTGGGCCACAGTGAGGTTGCTGATCTATCCCCAGAAACAAGGGACCCCGGGTCTGGGTCTCCTGGTAAAACTATGGAGCAGTTCTTGAGTCTCAGTTTGGACAAGGGCCCCCAGTGCCAGGATCTGGGAGGAAATAGGGCTCTAGACACTTTAGCACTGGAGGAAGTCACTGCTTTGAGCAGCCAATCAAGGAAGAGCAAGAGCCGAGGTCAAGCTGGTCTAGATGCGGTTCCAGCACAGGCTGCCACCCAGGACAATGAATGGGAAATGCTTTCTCCACGGCTCTCCCAGAAAAAGAAGATCCCTCCACAGGAAATGGAGGAGGAGACAGAGTTCCTTGAGCCTAGACTCCGAAAGCCAAGACCAAATGGGTAAGCAGAACAGTCGGTTTGATTGTTATGGAAATGATTGTGTTTAGAAACCAGGGAAACAGTGAGAGGTTCTGAGGTGAGGGGGCCAGGGTGAGATGTCTTTTCTGACGTTTGTTAGAAGATGGAGCATCAGCAGCAGCAATTGCTAGACAACTCTCAGCAGAAGGATGTTGTGCATCTAGTCTACTCCCACCCTGCTGACGTCGGCACCTGTGTGACTCTGAAACAGGCTGGTGTCGGCAGCCTCACACAGACATGCATGAAGGCAAAACACCAATGCACAGAAAATAAAAAATAAATAAACAATATAAAAAAATAAATGTTTAAAAATAAATAGAATGTCACTGCTGCTTTCAAGATTTGGGGTGTGCTGGTAATACTTAAGATTTTTCTTTCTTTCATTTGCCCTTAAAAATAGTGAGAAATAAGTTAAGCAGAAGGGACGACAGCTTTTTGGCTTTAAAGTGTGTGTGATGTGCACTGTGGCGTGTATTTACGTGCCTCCCATGAATTACTTAATGCAGTTAATATGTAACTGGCATAGGGAAGACACCTCCTGCCCCCTGCTCAGTTTAGGAGCATAAAGGACAATCTATAGCGAAGGCTCTGTGACTCAGGTATTTGGAACTCGGCCTACTCGCCCCTGACCACTTACATATTTAAAGAGTTGGAATTCTATAGAAATCAGTGGGAGAGGCTGGATGATTTCAAGCCTTCCTCCTTCATATTTAAATTCGGTGAACTTAATTTGTATGGGACCAAAGTGTGTGTCCAAACAGCTTCCAGGCTCACAAATGGCATTTCTTGTTCAAAGTAACAGAGGAAGTAAAGACTGTGAAGAGGATGTTGGAGGTTTTTCAGATAACCGCAAGGAGTTTTAAAATCGAAGCATTTCAGTTGACTTAATCTTTCTTTTTCCTGTCAAGCTGCTTTCTTCTAGAGAGAGCCCAGATGAGCAGCTAATGGACTCTGCACCTTCCCCTCCAGGGCATCACCCTTCCCACTCAGCTTCTGTAGTGAGGAGACTTCCCTCCCCACCTTTGCTGCCTTTACATGATCTATTCCAATGCATTTGAAATGTCCTTCCTGCTGGTTTTTGAGCACACATTGGTGTCTATGACAGGATAGGAAGAACAGCTCGGTGGCTGAGCCCTGTTTCACACGCCTGAGACCCTGGGTTCAACCCCTAATACCACAAAACAGCCCAAGACAATGCTAAAGGCCTACGGTCTAGAGGCTAGCCTAGGTCGGGAGCCTTTGGAGAGTCCGGTATTAGGGATGAGGCCCCATCCCCAGCTGCCTTCAGAGTTTCTTTCCTGAAATTTAGATCCTGACTTAAGCTTGAGAATTGTTGTTCTTAGAGGTGAAGAAGCCTGAACTCTAAAGAGTGAGACCTAGACAAGAGTGCAAATACTAGTGACCAGCGTTGGCTCATGTGCACAGGCGCCACTGCGAGCATTTGCTGCCCCCTGGCTCCTCAGCACCGTGTGCGTGGCTTCAGTTTGTGTGCTGTCAAGTTTTATGCCACCTGGGTACAAGCTAGAATCATTTTGTAAGACTGAACCTGAATTAAGAAAATGCCCCCACTAGGTTGGCCTGTGTGCAAGCCCGTGATGGGGAACCTCCTTCAGCTTTGAGAGGCTGGACCAGGTTGAGGCATGGCTTTAGGGTACCAAAAAGCCACGGTCCCGCCCGCTCGCCCCTCTTTTCCTGTGCTGCACACCTGCATTTTGGACCCCTGTTCCTGTTCTGTGAGTTTTCCCTTATAATAAAGGAAAACCTTAGACTACCTTGTTTGGAGCTAATGTGGGATGATTTGTGTGTGCCTCTCCCCCCCCCCCCCCGCCCGGCCACCTGACGTGTTCTGATGCATTTGGCTTCATCTGGTGCCCAGCATATCAGGATACGCCCCCCCACCCCTGTGGCGTTCCCGGTTTGCCAGCCCAGGCACGTTTCTCACCGGCTCACGGCCCATCTGCCACATGTTGGAGTAACATCTGTTGGGGTCCAAGCTCGATTCAGTTTGCACATTCCAGGGTAGGAGAGTGAGGATTAGAATTATTAAGCAAAAGGAGCAGAGATATGAGAGAAATAAAAGACAAAAACACAGAACAGCACTGGGAGGGAAATTCAGTGAATACTGAACCTACGGTGTTTATTTTCCACAAGCTTATATACTTCACTCCAAAAGGGGAGAGGGAGGCAACAGACCTCATTGACCTGTTGTAAGGAATAGACTTGAGTTCTCTGACCTTTTGTTGAGGTGGAGCGGATCCTCCTCTCTACCCAAAATACTAATTAACCACACCCTAGATTAGGATCTCTTGTTTGTAGCCACACCTGTTGTCAACAACTTTGAAAGTGCAAAAATAAGTTCAAACTCTGTGACCTTTAGTCTAGGTGGAACAGACTCATCGCGTTGGTTCTCGTTGCTCGCGTGGGTGTCACGAAACAAGACTCTTTCTGTTGGTGTTGGATAGGGCGGACACAGAAGAGCCTATTTGGTAGCAATAATTAAGCATCCTCTAAATTGTAATTTTCTTCCCTCCTTCCTCTCCCTCACTGGTCCTCTCCCACCTTCATCTTGGATCCGCCCCTCCCCCCGCAACTATGTCTTCCTGGCTAGTCTCATGAGAACAGACCTTCCAGTAATAAGTGATTGCACAAGAATGTCATTTTCTTTCGTCTACCCAGCTGCTGTTTGAGACAAGACAAGCCTTGCTGGTCCTATTTCCCACCCCGACTGAGTAAAGTGAGCAAATAGGCTGCCAACGCCATTAGCAAGCAAGGAATGGTGAAGTGGAGACTTGACTTCCGTCTCTCATTCCCATCCCAGGGCTTCTCAATGAAAGCACAGCCACCCGAAGACATTTCCTTTTCAACGTCTGTGGTTCGATTTATTTGGAGTCCCCCATTGCCCACTGAAAGGCTTGAGTCATTGTTTGATGAGACGTTTTGAAAGTGGTTGAGTCAGATCTTGCTCCTGTCTGCTCAGCCTTGTCGCCCCCACCCCCAGCTCCTTCCAGTGCTCGAACACAGATTTCTCATCATAACGGAGAGGGCTACTTCCGTGATGGCTGTTTCCCGCTGAGGTTGTGTGGTTCCAGCTCAGGGCACGGGAGGACAGAAAGAAGCCAGAGCCCGTCAGTCTGCCTTTCAGTTTGTAGACGTGGTGTTTTATGCTCAGTACTTTACAACAACGAGAGAGGTGGCTCTGGTGCCAAAATGAGGTGGCATGAGGAGGAAAAGCCCAGAATTTCCCATCTGGGCTGCTGGCGTCTAGCCTGTGGGAGAGTCCAAAGTGTGCCCCTGACTGAACTTGAGATGCTGGGTGAGTGGCAGAGCTGCCTTCAGAGGAAAAGCTAACGGAAACTGATGGTATCGAGGAAGATGAGACAGCCCAACTTTCTTTCTACATTACATTTGTCTGTCTGTCTGCCTGCCTGCCTGCCTGCCCACCATGCATGCACAGTGCACATGGAGAAGTCAGAAGACAATTTTAGGAAGTTGATTCTCCCCTTCCATCATGTGCCCCCTCCTGGGGGGGTTTGAACCCAGGGTTTTGGGTTTGACTGCAAGCTCTTTTATCCACTGAGCCATTACGCCGGCCCCAACATCATGGCTTCCTAAAGCAGGACGTCTCGTTGTCGTAGGAGCAGGACCCAGCAAGAAAGATACTGTATTATATTTTCAAGTTAGGAAATTTCAAGGTAGATTTAATCCAGTCCCGTTTACAAAGGCGGCGGAAGAGCGTGAGGAGCCCACACTGAACAGTGCAGTGGTTCGGGTATAGTTTAGTGTAGCTGATAGCGAGTGCCCTGGCTCCAGGGGTGGAGGGAGAGGCAGCCAGAACCCAGTAGGATTTAGGCCAGAGAGAGCAGTGAGAAGAAGGGTAACTAGGAGAAAGAGTTTGGCTAGTCTGAGCGGTACCCACCAATTACTGTGGGTTGGGGTCTGGCCCAGATATTTCCAGGTTCTTAGTCTCTTTTCCAAATAATTAAAATAAGTCTACAGATTTGAAAACAGACCACACAAACAAAAACAAGGTGACTTCATTTGGAGCACAGTGGTAGTACAGACAACAGGGGAGGGCACTGTCAACATGGGCAGCAGGGTACAGGAATGAGGGTACCCAGGGACCCCAGATTTACAACCTGACGTATCTCCTATGAGAACTAAAGAAAGGAAGGCATATATTGGGTGGTTCTCCTGGTTGATTGATAGATTGGTTCATATAGTTAGTCTTTCCACTATACATGTCCCTTCCCAGAATGCATCTGATTTTAATCATAAGTACATAGTTGTAAGATAGCAAATAGGGGGTCCTCCCTAAAGGTTTACTTGAAGAATTCAGTTTGCCTTACTTCATATGGATCCAAAACCGATTCAGGCTGCATTGATCACTCCTAGTTTTCTGAATACATTGGAGCTATACTTGATTAGAGACTATCTAAATTTGATTGTTATTAGAGCCAGAGAAACCTGTGTTGTTCTTCAAAATGGCAGTATATGTCGTCTGAAGAAAGTGAAGGAGCCAAGGAGCTTCTGAGGCTGCCATTCACCTTATTTGGCAAGGGGTGTGTCTTAGTCACTGTTCTGTTGCTGTAAAGAGACACTATAATTACACTAAATTTCTGGAAGAAAGCATTCATTTGAGGATCTTCTTAAAATTTCAGAGAGTGAGCTCATGACCATTGTGTTGCAGAGTATGGCAGCCAGCAGGCAGGCAGACATAGCACTGGAGTAGTAACTGAAAACTTACAGTTGATCCATAAGCAGTAGGCAGAGAGAGAGAGAGAGAGAGAGAGAGAGAGAGAGAGAGAGAGAGAGGAAGCACAAAACCAAAGGGTCCAGGCTAAGCTAGCACCAATACTTGTCTGCTTCACCTGAGAACGGAGTCCAGTAAGTTTGCCCTCCTCTCCCTCCCTCCACTCCTCTCTCCTCTCCCTCCCTCTTTCCCTCTCCCTCCTTCCTCTCATCTCCCACCAGAGCCTTCATTG